ATTTTGTACTCAAAGCTTCTGAATGCTCAGATCATCACAGAATCAAAATAAAACTTAATTCAATTATGGGATACAGACTCTTACAGTTTAGGGAAATCCATGATCAATTAGAAAGAGACTAGAGAGAAGACAGGAAGAAAAAAGCTAATGAGTAAATCTCCTCAAAGCAGCACCTTTTAAACAAAACAAAACTTGCATTTATTGAATATATTTGTGGTATCAGTATAAATTGTTGACTGAAGAATTAAAAAAGATGTTCCAACAAGTAAGTGGAAAAACAGCAAGTCTTTAAATTCCTTCACAGTTAACATTTAGCCACTAATTATACAAAAACATCACCATCAGCATAATATCACAAACAAACTACAAGACCAATCTAGGGTTTTAATTTTCATCACCACATTAAAGGATGGCTTCAGCTTGCCAGTTCAGAATCTGTTTTAAGTCTCACTCATACAACAAAGAATTTAGCACCGCAGCAAAACTCCACTAATAAGGAATTTTTCACAATAGTCAATCTGAACTCCTATTTGTTTCATATCCACTCCTGCTGTTATCTAGTTAAAATAAAATCAATAATCAGCTACTAATAATGGATCAATGGTTAATAAACAGTTCCAAAGCTACTGTCATATGCAGTTGGACAGGTAATAGGACTTCTCTGTCCTGTGTTTTATTAAAGTGCTATGAAAGAAAGAAGCTGAGTCACATATAGTTAGAAACTGCTTTTAGAGTATTAGAAGAGTAAATTTTCTGGAGAAAATCTCAGAGTACGTGCTCAAAGCTGTAGATAATAGTCACAGTCACAAATATGCACCAAAAAATTGGACTGCCCAAGGCAATACTACACTACACGTGTGGCCAACAATAAAAATTATCAGTTGAGGCTAAATCACTTTGGAAAGAGTGAGTCCCCAAAACAAGGAGGGAGACAACCTTATCTCTATACATGAAATGGGGACACTGCCCATTTTTGTGAAAAAGAACCTTGCAAACAAGAGAAAGGATAAAATAGCAGAGAAATTAACTACTTCTAAGAAACAACTATATCCCAACTGTGTCTAAACCTTCATCTCATTTCTCTGTATTCCCAAAAGAATCTCAGCAGCTTCACACATTTCAGATAAAATCCCTGCTGGCAGTCATCAGCCAGATAGACCAAATGAAAGGTGACTTAAAAAAAAAAAAAAAGGAAAACTACCACATACACTGACATTTCCAGAGAAAAACAGGAGGAAACAATCACTCAGATAACTGTAAAGAAAACACAGTTTGTCTATTGACACTTTATCTAGTTCCTCAGGAGGCAGATCAATGAAAAAACCCTCTTGTTTTTATATTAAAAAACTTCAACCAATCCTAAACATACCCAAGGAATGTAAGGAGTCCCTGGGTAAACTGGTTGGGAGTTTAGCTGGAGGATCAAGAAGAAGGATTTATTCAGAGCCAGGTTTAAGACCACAGGTGTGGCTAATTCTCCATCTCATGTCATATTCATGAAGGCTCTCTTTTCTTACCTAATTAGCCCTATCTCCTGATTATGCCTCCATGAAGTAAAAAGGAAGGTAAATCAATGCACCAAAATGCAGCTTTTCTACTTCAAGAGAGAGCTGTGAGTATCTGTGTCAGAGCCAGATTGCTCCCAGGGTAGAAGTTCCACTAGTATAAAACTAACTGGGGAAAAAAGATGTAAAAAAAAAAAAAATCATCACAGTCTGAGGTTATATTTATGTTTTCATTTCCTTCTTTCATCTCAAAATAGGATGCAATAACCATGTGTTTAATGGAACTGCCGGGAAGGAGTGGGCCAAACATCTGCTCCACTTTGGCATTTCAGTTTTGTCTAGAGTTTGAAGAGGGCTTTCCTGTCATTTGGATGAGGTGCCTGTAGAAAAAGCTGTTTGGGAAAGTCTGTAGGCTCATGTATTTCCTGCCTCTAAATGTAAAACCTTGAAAATATAGCAAAACTGCCAACCAGGAAAAGCCAAATAGGGAAGCAGTCCAAATAAAATTTCAAGAACAACAACGAAAACTAAGAAAAAAAGAAGAATTCAACATTAAAGTAGCTTCTAAAGCCACGAATTGAATATTTTTTTTTCAGTAACATTTTGTGTCACATGAAAGATCAGCAACCACAGCTGATAATTTCCTAGAAAAGGCAGAACTTTCTATGTTCAACATTAATGAGGTTTTACAGATATACAAGTCTAGGAACTGAACGCATCTGCAGTGAGCAACCTTGCAGTTCCCTACTTGTAACATCTATAGAATCCATCAAATTTTATAACAGAAATCTTGCTTAATTTCATCTTCCCCTCCTTCCTCTTTTTTTTTTTTTTAATATTTTCAATGCATGTGGAATCTGGATGTGTTCTGGCAGGACTGAGGCCCATTTTGAAGGCTGGGACAGGGCTCATAATGCACCAACCAACTTGCTCGCCCTATTAGAATACTGGAGAGTTACCTTAAGCACTCTTTTTTTTTATGATTCTGATTTAATTGTTCCTCATTTATATTCATGGCTGAATTTCACTGCATCTGAAGCTATTTTGAAAACACAGCATTCTCCCAAAGGGCCCAATCCAACTCCCATTCAAATAAACAGCCTTCAATGGAGCCTATTTGTTGCCAGCCAACAAGATTGAATTCTGCTGCGGAGTGGTCCCAGGAGCGTTTGTCACAGCTCTTTACAAATATTGCTCCAGCAAGAGCAGGCCTGAATGCCCCTGTCCACAAGCACTGCACACAACTCAAACCTATCTTTTATCTTCTTAAAATGTTTGGTCAGATTTAAAACTCCAGCAGCACAAAGAATTGAATCTACCAAGAATATAAACAGCAAAAGGAGTAAAAAGTGTTTAACAGTTATAAAAAAGTAAAGGGAAAGCAGGATGATAAAATAATTTCATATGATAGGATCAACTACCATTTACTCCACTCCTACAGTGATAGAATATATCCAAATTTCACTGCTACAGTTTTGAAATAATAAGAAATTTTGCAACAAAGTGTAGAAACACCACTCCAACAATAAGTCATAAGGGCTATGAGGAAAGATTCTAAATCTCACACAGGGTTACCAAAACAACAAAGTTGGAGACTGCTATTTCTTGATCACATTCACACCATATGGAAGACCCTCATCTGTGAAAGAAATGTTGTGATGGGCTTTGAGGACAGGTTTTGGTGTTTTGTGCTAAATAAAGTAACAGTGTAACTTCTCATCTGAACAAGAAAATGAAACGTACAAATGAGAAAAACCTTCAATGGAAGGGCTCTTACTCTCAGATCACTTATCCTATTTTGTAGCACAGAAATCCAGACTCTGGCTGATCAAATCATTTGTAGCTTAAAGTCTGAGACAGTGGAAGATTAGGAAACTGTTTAGATAGGAATTCTATTATGCAACATTGCCAAATTGAAGACCTTTATATAGGAAAGTAGTTTGCTTTGAAATTAAGAACTTGTTGTTATACAGTATTGATGTGGCTCTTGAAAATAGACTGCTTGGAAAACACAGATCTTGGAAGATGCTCTCAGCATCTGTCAAAGTTCAGAAACAACATAACAAAATGTGATTTATAATGCAAGCTCAACAGCTCTAGTTCAAAAATAATAATAAAAAAAAAGATGGCCACCTTGATATCCTAAGAATACTCTTGAGTATCTGAGCTGACACCCAGTTATTTCAGTGGGTAATTTACAGAGTGCCTCCATGCTTTGAGAGATGACAGCCATGAGCTCCTAATTTCCAACTATATATCACTGCAGCACTAGAGAGGGCTTGAAACCAAAAAAACCACCTCAATAAGAACACCTCCTAAGTTCACACCAAGATGACTCTTTGCTGCATACTCCAGCCTTTCCAAGCCCTACAAGAACAGGGATGTTACCTCCAAATTCCTTATTGCGGGTTCGGACTCCTGTCTTGATGGCAGGAACACATCTTGGACCATTCACTGCATATTCCCCAAACATTGTTGTGACTGACAGCATTGCCCATCCACACTAAAGAGATTAAATCTGTATATATACAGATAAATGTATGTATACAGATATCATTATGTGTGTATATCCACACATAACCAGTCTCCCTCTTTATGTGCAATGGACGAATGCTAAATCAACAAATCAATTGCATGGAGTTCTCAAATACTGTAGCCAGCATTCAAATAGGAAAGTTGGGCACAAAAGATTTCGGATTTACAACCTCCTTGAGGTTAAAAGCTAAACCACAGAGTTGCAGTTGTGCAAGGCAAGTTAAGCACCAGCAGCACCTGGACCTGCATCAGGAGCATTCCCAGCAGCTGCACCTGCGGACACACCTGGACACAAACGCGCTTTGTTTGCTCCAGCGGCTTTGGCTTCGGGGAAAACATTGATGCTCAGAAGTGTGGACCAAAGGTTCTCATGCAGCTGCTCATGATGAAAAGGTTGGTTGCCAAAAGCACGAGGGCTGTGTAGAATGTGCGTATCTCATTTTACCTGGACAGGGCTGCTGTGGAGCTGAATAATGAACTGCTGCTACACATCAAGAGAGCCCCTGAGCCCTTCCAGGAGGCTCCTCTACTCTTTCCCACCGCTCTGGTGAGCTTCAGGACCACCGGGAATCCTGAGCTGGGATCGATTTCCCCAGCCAGGCATCTTCACCCCAGCGTGACCTCAGCCAGCCGCACTGAGCAAACCAAGGCGCTGCTGCCACCCGCAACGTGCTCAGACAACCGCTGCCACTCCGCGCACAGCCTCACCCAGCTCTGCTGCTGAAACAACTCCGAGTTCTGGCAGCTGAGCGGGGAGCCAGGCGCTCGGAGCCCTGAGGCGGGCAGGCGCCGGGGCCGCGCTCGGGCGCATCTCCAGCCGAGCAGCGCAGCCAGCGGGCAGGTCCCGCCCGCTGCCGGGCGCGGGGAGGCTGCGAGCGGAGCCGCGCCGGCCGCGGGGCTCGGCCGGGCGCAGGGGAAGCTGCCGGCAGCAGGGACGGCGGGGCTCGCTCGCTCACTCACCGGGAATCCGGCCCGCAGGCGGGCGGATCGCAGGGCCAGGTCCCGCAGCACGGCCCCCGCCCGCCCGGCCCAGGGCGCCGCCATCTTCGCGCTGTCCCCGCCCTGCCCCGGCGGAAGCCCCGGCGGGGGCGGAGAGGGGCCGGGCGCCGTGAGGCGAGCTGCGCGCGCCCCTCTCTCTGCATAAACGAGAATTTATTCAGCCAGATTAAAAATAAAAATAACTTTATTAGCGGTGAAATTCTGTCTAGCCAGCCGCACGGAAAGGACAGAGCCGAGCCCGGGATCGGTCCTGGGTGTGCAACAAGGAGTCAGCCTCAGCAGAGATCTTCCCCTATGCCCACACACCTCCATCCTGGCACCAGCGGTTTTTATAGGGAAAATTCCGCCTGAGGCCAAGATTTCAGCAATCAGTCTTTTCTTCTGTTCAGAATCCATAGGTTAATAAGATTTTATGGTGATGAGGAGAAAGAATTCAATGTCCGGAGTAGTTGAATTCTTGATGAGAGTTTACGGGAAGGCTGCATTCACATGGATTTCCATTCTGAGGATTTCCATGAAATCCATCTCGGACGATCAGCACCTGGAGCCCAGACATGGCCCATCTCCTGGCCGAGCTACATCTTTTTTACTTGTAAATCAGTCTCCAGTATACACCCAGTCTCACCTGCAAGGGGTGGGGGGACTAATACAACGGGCATAATCTAACAAGTATCTAATATTACATATTTCATACAAGGGATGGCGTGAATTATATTTACTATGCATAACATCTCCCTGACAGGAAAGGCCGAGGGACTCGTGCCTTGTTGAGCCTCGAGAAGAGAGCACCGAGAGGAAACTTTCACATATATAATGTGTATGTGAAAAATGCCAATCGCTTGGTTTTAAAAATTTTAAAGGTTTAATAATAATAACATGGTTATAAAAATAGTAATATAATTAGAGTGATAAAATTTAGAGTTAGGGTAATTAATTACAAGACAATAAAAAGCAAAGGATTACGGAGGTCCGGATGCTCTCGGACGTCCGGATGCTCTCAGACACTTAAGAAAAGCATGCCCTGTGAACAAAGGAATAACCTAAAAGCCATAACCTGTTGTATATTCATATATCCTTCATGGTTACGCATACATTCTATTTAAAACAAGAACTGTGTCTGTTGTATGTCAACTGTTTCCTTTAATCCCCAAGGTGTCTTCGAATCTGAGCGAGGCCTGAAGAAATTAGCTTCTTCTGATAAGAAAACCATAAATTCCTTTTCTCTGGAATATTTAAGTGTTCCTCGAAGTGAGCATCTCATTCCTAAAAAAAAAACTCCCTTCACATACATAGTCTCTATTTTAACATTATGTTTTAACCTAAAACTATATTTAACACACTACTTAAGAGAATTAATACAGCATAACTTTCTAACATGACACATATAATATTCATTGTAAGATTTGCGAAAAACCAATCATAAAATATGTATTTTTCATATGTGTAACTGTGTAAAGGTGCGCAGCGACAGGACAAAGAGGCAGTGGATGGGAACTGATGCCCAGGAAGTTCTGCGAATTTCCTCGCTGTGCACTGACTGAACAGATTGCCCAGACAGGCTGTGGAGTCTGTTCCTCGGGGAGATATCTTCTGTTAGTGAGCCATTGAATGACTCCCTGCATGAGTGGTAAAGTTACATCATCCCATTGTGAGATGCTCCACCCAGAGGGAGGAGCCAAGCATCTCTACCTGCATAAAATCAGCATTTTTTGGGACATCAGAGTAGCCCCTTCACTAGGTTCCCAGAGGAGCATCTTCTTCCTCACTAAATCCCCAGAAGAAGATCAGGCCCATCTACTCTATCACCAGACCTTCAGAAAAAACTACACCCTTCTATAGATCACCGTTTCAGCAGCATTTCATCTGGCACTCCAAGAGGAGCAGCCACCATTTAACTGGACTATTCCCAGCACCCTGACTCCTCAGGGTGTCAGGTTTCTGACTCTATCAGTAGTTTCGTTTATACTAATTACATTTTTTTTTTAGTTTTTTCTTTTCCCTAGTAAAGAACTGTTATTCTCATTTCCATATCTTTACCTGAGAGCCTTTTAATTTTAAAATTATAGTAATTTGGAGGGAGGGGATTTATCTTTTCCATTTCACAGGAGGCTCTTGCCTTCCTTCACAGACTCCTGTCTTTTCAAACCAAGACAGTGTGTTGGAGATGAGTGTGCCCAGCACAGCCAGGTTTGGGACTGGGGTCCAGTGCAGTGGCCAGAGCTCTGTGGAGAAGGAGCGTGCAGGGAACATGCAGGCAGCAATGAGTGGAGAGGCTGGGAAGTGTAAGGTCCCAGCCTTGAACTGCTGCAGGCTGATCCAACTTCTTTTTTCCTAATTAAAAGGTCTTTTGGTTTTTATTAGGAAATACCAAGCTAATAAACCTGTAATCTGAACTCCAAAAAATACCTCTGTTCTTCATCCACTGGTAAAATGTATCAATGTTAGGCTGAACGTTAGGAGGAATTTTTTTCTCAGAAAGGGTTGTCAGGCATTAGAATCAGCTGCTCAGGTTAGTGGTGGAATCACCATCCCTGGAGGTTTTTAACAAAGGACTGGATGTGGCACTTGGTGCTCTGGTCTGTTTGACAAGGTGGTGATTGATCACAGGTTGGACTTGAATCTCAGTGGTCTGTTCCAACCTAAACAATTCTGTGAAAACTATGAGTTAGTGCCAAACCTGACACACCAAACTCAGGTCCTCTTGGGGGATGGAGCAGAAGAGCTGAGCCCTGGTAGCTTTATGTCCATCACGTGGACTTAAAATCTGACATGAGTTCACATCTGAGCAGAGGTTTCATGAAAGTGAGTCCCAGCAGCCAGCTCTGTGAAAATTGTTCCATCCATCAGGAGTGACTTAGGGGCTGCTGTGTACCAGGTCTACAGTCTGAAGTAAACTCAACACTAGCTGGAGTGTTGTTGGTGTTTTTTTTGTGTTGTTTTTTTGTTTTTTTTTTGTTTGTTTGTTTTTAAGATATGGTTTACAGAGATTTGGATAAACCAGAACTGCTCTTGAGTTGGTAATTTGGTAATTTCTAGGGGTTTTTTGAAATAATTTGATCCGGTATTAGCAAGCTTTTGTTGGTTTTGTGTCAAAAAACAGTCCACAAACTGATCCTCAAGGGAGTGGGAGGTGCCTTGCAGATATTAATGTTTTAAGAATGTGCCTGAGGCTTCTTATATAAATAATCTCCATTTTCTAGAAGTACCATACATATGGTACAATAAATATAAATATATATAGTTATATGAGCAAGGAGGGGGGATATGCAGTAGCAAAGGTGTTAAGAGTATTTTGACTATGCTTTACTGGGGAGTCTATGAGCTAGAACTACTGTGAACTGTTGTTAAGGTAGAACACTTACTGTGCCCATCTCTGATCTGACTTACCCTTAATGATAGAAACCAGTTTCATACAGGTGAATAAAAACTTGAAGAATGGAACTGAAACTTTATTTGAAGTTCTGCTAAATACCAAGGTTGAGTGAAAATAATAGGGCTTTGTGCAATGATCAAGTAAAACTCTGTTACAAAGAAAATAGTTTGACCCAAGTAGTCCTCTGCTTAACCTGTGACATAGGTGTTATGGAGCTAGGGAACCTTAGAAAGACTTCCACATTTGGAGATGTGTTTCTCAGAGGTTACACTTTAAACTACTTCCTAGTTAATCCTAGATAAGTGGCAGCTCTTTAACGTACTGAAAATGGCAAATATATATTGTTAAGAGAAGTTATTTATAATGCCTTGTAATAATCGTTGAGGTGTTCTAGAACTATTTGCATATGACATAATGTAATCCCATCCTACTGTTTACATGATGATTCCTCCAAGATGACTGCAAAGATTAAAAAAATAAAATTAAAATAAAGATGTATTGCACAAACTGATTTGTATTTTGAATTTCCATGTTCTAAGCGGATTAGAGAGTTGTTATTACAAAAGGCTGCTGCTCTTAGTTTGGGTGCAGCAGCAGCTGGGGAGGAGGAGGCGGAGGAGAGGAAATACTGCTTGCGCCCTCGGGGTAGGGGTTGCTTTGCCGAAGCCAAGGCTCCCGAGGGGTTACTTAGAGCAATCAAGGGTTTTCCCGGGACAGGCCCGGGCGCCGCCGGTTTGTGTGGGCGGAGGACGCAGGGGCGAGCAGCGGGGTCCGGGAGCCTTTCCCGGGGCTGGGCACTGAGCTCGGGCCCCGAGCCGGCCGTGGCCGCGGGGCCGGGGCTGCGTGAGGACCGGGGCGCAGCGCGTCCTTCTGCTGTTCGCAGCTGGGCGAGTCAACAAAAAAGGTACCTGAAACCTGCACGTAGCAGTGACCCAGGTGATAACTTGCAGCACTGCGATGGGGAGGGGCTAAATTCTGAGCGTTGCTATGGGATTTTAATGCCATTTTAATGTAAATTTCTCTAAGCATTGCACCGTTATTGACTAATCCACCTGCGCTACCGCTACAGTATTTTCTCAGACAAAGTGAATGTTCAGGAAAGCTTCTTGTTTTCACTGTTCTAGAAAAAGAAGTGGAATATATATAGGAGATATATATCTGGATTAAAATCATGTTCCACTCGCTATACACCTCCCCATAAGCTGGGAAAAAGTGTTGGGATATGAGTAGCAACTGTCAAAAGTGCTCATCTGCTGTGCTGGTTGGGCTGCAGGAGATATCTAAATAAAGAATCCAATGCTTTAATTGAGGCAGTCAGCACTATTGTACCAAGATGAAGTTGCTGCTCACTTGTGGTCTGATGCAGACACATGGGGTTGCTTCTGTGGTTCAGTGAGGCAGCAAATTCATGTGGCACTGTTGTCACAGCTGTGTTGAGTTTTAAAGCTTTTTTCTTGTTTTTACTGTTAACATATTGCGTATAAATACAATGTGAGCAAAATGCATTTTTGAAAAGGTAGAAAGAAAGGATACTTAAAGCTGTAGCGCGTGATATTATGGGGTCCCATTCGATATTATGGGGTCCCATTCGATATTATGGGGGCCCATGCGATATTATGGGGGCCCATTTGATATTATGGGGGCCCATGCGATATTATGGGGGGCCATGCGATATTATGGGGGCCCATGCTATATAAAA